TTCTAAGGAGAAATGTCTCTTTAAGATTTTTGTGGATTTGTCAGACAAATTTTTCCCTGTACAAGGCTGGTGCCTCTGAACAATTTTGATCCTGACCCAGCAAAAGCAATCTCTACATTTGGTCTTTGGAATCTGAGGAGGAAAACTAAAACAAGTGGTCATTACTGAAGGGGGTTTCAATAATTACTTTAATGGGAGAGAATGATTTTATGTGAAGGTCTTTGTGACAACTCAGGAAGAAACAATCAAAAGGAAAACTGTTTTCACAGCTTGTGACAAGGTAATACCAATAAATAGGAATGGCGCCTTGATAGTTTATCCGAGAGACCCTAATATGTGGGTTGACCACGTAACTTATCGTCTAAACCAGGATCCTTTAGACAGTGAAAGGTGCTGCAATTAACAATTATGTTAGAACAACAGGTATGAACCACAACAGTTCAGGCCAACAGTGCATATAGTCATCTTCTAATACTGGAAATGAGAACGTTGAAGAACACTGACATGGGGCTTTTCCAATTAATGCTTAATATGAAGGCAACTTTTATCAGTAGTTTAACACATATTCATTTTAATTATCAGGATTTAATGATAGAGGATCCCAGCCAGGTCCTCTTTTTACTAATTATTATACCAGTAAGCCTTATCCTTTCAGTCAGTTATCTTATATATGTGAGGCATATTGAAAGGGACATTAGTTTTTTCTTTAACACTGAAAACTAATTATTAAAACAAAATAATGTCCTTGTCACTTGAACATGAATGCCTGTTCAATGGAAGGTAACTACTTCCCTGGAAATCCAGAGTTTCCAGTCTGTCTTTCAGTACTTAGAATGTCTTAAAAGTGATGTTCAACCTATGACAGATTGGTGCATAAACAAGCATCGCTACCATGAAAATTGGCACAAAGTTGGTGCACCAGGAATATTTAAGAATAAATGAATGACATAGACTCAGCAGAAAAATTTCTCAAAATGAAATATGAACATATATAAATAATCACAGATTTTGTTTTTATTCAATTCTTTCCACTTACATATAAGAAATAAAATACACAGGGGAGTCAACAAATGCCTGTCTTTAGAAATCACAGTGCACAAGCTGCTATACAGAACTTACCAAAGAAACATTATGTTTCTGTAGAACTATAAACTCAAAAGATGAAAATCTTTCTTTGCTTTTGAATTGTTAATATAAAATAGGATTAAACATATTTTTCTTTTAATTGAAGTTTTCAATCATTCCCTTGAGTAAGACATCTCAGAGAAGGAATTTGATGTCAGTATTGAAAAGGTCCATCAATGGCTTAGTGACAAAATAAGCCTGTATAGAAATTCTTATGGGACAAAGAACAATCTGGAGTGAAAGAAGCAAAGAAAATAATTTTTAACAGTATAGTTTGGGAAGATGTTACGTTTGGGGGAAGCTAGTGAAGAGCAGATGGATCCTCTGTATATAATTTTTGCAAATATTTGAGTCTAAATAATCTTGAAGGAAGGAGTTGAAAAAAGATTTACAAAATTTTAAAGACAAGAAAAGATTGAAATGGAGAAGCCAACTGTCTTAGGAGTGATGTCATATACTTGTATTATGCTAAATAAATAATTCTGAATTTCTTAAAATTCTTTATTTAACATTCTAGGAATATTTTTAAGCCCTTTCTCTATAATAATCATTCTTCTAAATGTTGAATAAGATACAGTTCCTATTTTCATGAGTTTTCCATTCTGATACAGATACATAGTAAACAATTAGTCAAGTACATATACAATATAGCAAATGATGGTAAAAGTAAACAAGGGCAAAGGGGCAGAGTAAGACAGATGAGCATTGTCACAGACAGCATGTGCAAGGAAGAAGTGTCTCTGACAGGTGCTCTCTCAGCAGGGTGGAGGAGAGACCTGAGCCACTAAGTGCCTGAGAAAAGAGTATTCCAGACATACACTAGAGTGAGTGCAAGGCTCTCAGGTGGGAGCACGCCTAGAACATTCAAAAAGTAGCAAGGAGATCACCATGGCATGAGAACAGTGAAAGGGATAATGACAGGATGAGTTCAGAGAGGTAGGGTGAATGCAGGCAGCACTATGGGTCCTAAAATCCGTGGCAAAAACCTTGGTGCTTGCTCCAAACATGACAGAAGCTGATGGAAGGTTTTATGCAAAACAGTGACAAAATATGATTTGCAGGTTTTTAAAAATCACTTTTGCTGCTCTTGGTAAACAGACTTTAATGGGAACAGGTAGAAGTGGCAAAGCTGGTCACCTGCACTAATCCACGTGAGTGATGCTGATGTTTGGGCTAAAGCTTCAGTGATGGAGGCAGTGAAAGTAATTGGGTTCAGGACACATTTCTGCGTCCAACTCCAGTGAAGCTGTCATTTACCAATAGATAAGGTAGATGGGGCCATGGTTTTGTCTGCTTTGGACTTGTTAAGCTTGAGATGACATTAAAAAGCTAAACTGTGGTGTCAAGAAGACAAAGTCTATAGTTTAGGTTCAGGTTGGAGTGTGGAGAGATCTCAATGTGGAGATGTGTTCAAAGCTAAGAGCAAGATAAGGTCACCAACTGAGTGAGTTTAAATAAAGAAGCCACGTGGCTCCCAAAAGGAGCCACAAGCATTCCAACATTTGAAGGTGAAGAGGATAAAAAAGAATCTAAGGAAAAGCAATTCAGGAGGCAGGAGGGAACTAGAACTCAACAGAGATCCAGAAGACCAAGAAGTCAAGACACATTTCCAGAAAGAGAAATCCATCCATTGTGATCAATGAGTTGAACAGCAGACAGAACTGAAAAGTGACCATGTGTGCCTCCCCTGAAGCTGCAGTGCTCCACTGAAGAGGATGTCCACCCTGATAGAGGAGGACTGTTCTTCAGGCAAGGGTATACCAGTAACTGTGCTCCCATGCTAGACCTCCAAACAAGCTCCCAAGATGAGAGAGCCTGTTTGCCTGGTGATAGAATATTCCAGGAAACTAACATGTGTTCTTAAAGTAAGCAGAGTTTAACTTACTCCTCATTGAAATCTCCAAAGTTGGAATGAGGAAGAGTTTAGCTGCACCATTCTGGACTAAATAAAAAGAAAAGGTTGTTGAAAAGGGAACTAGCAGTAGTATTATTATGAATTGTTGGACACAACCTTAGCTGGGCCCTATTCATAATAGGAAATGCAGAAAGTAAAGGAACAAGAAGTCCAGGATGCTCCAGAGGAGAGGTCAGGGAAGCAAATCTGTGAAATATAACAGACAACAAAACTGCCCCTCCAGAAAGTGGATCTGGAAGTTTTGTCAAAAGTTTGTGTTTTATTAATTATTTATTTGGAAATTAGTGCTTATTTTGTGTTAAAAAATTCAGACACTTTAGAGTGGAGAGGATAAAATGAAAGTACATACACACAGACTTTATTTCTGCCTAGAAGCAACTACTGTTAACAATTTGGTGCGCGTGCATACAGATGGGCCTGTGCATGTATATGTATGTATGACTACGTTACCAGAATTGGATCATAAACTATTTACACTATTTGATAGCTTTCTCTTTATACATAATAATACATCTTTTATACTTTTTTCATCTCAGGAGAAATAGCTCTACTTCATTATAAAAAAATATGAATAAATAATACATGAACATGATCCTCTATGTAAAAGCAAAAGCAGAATATATAGTCTTCCTTCAATCTTTCAGCAGTCAATTTCTCCCCAGAGACAATCACTATTACCAGTTCCTTAAATATCTTTCCACAGTTAGGCAATGCATATAAACACCATATATATATATATATATATATATATATATATATATATATAGTAGCGTACCATACACAGGTTTTATATTTGCTTTCTAAGCTTCAACTTATTTCTTGGAGACCATTCCATATATAAAGCTACTTCATTTTTCCAAAAGAAAACATAGTACTTTATTTTTTCTTAATCTCATGCCTAGATGTTTCTAATTTTTCACAATTAGCTGAATGCAACCACAATGAACGACAATTTAGAATTTATATAGCAAAAGGAAAGAGAATATACCAAAATAGAAAGAAAATCAACCGAAAGGTATGAGATTTTGAAGAACTGTGCATTAATACTAAATCTAGGTTCTTGCCTATTGACAGATTAAAAGAAATCTTTGAAAGACAATTTAAAATTCTAATGTTCTTACCTTCAAAAAAGAACTCACTCACCAATTTTATTACTTCCAAAGGCAATTAAAATTGGAGCCCCTCTGTTTTAGATCCTCAGATCTTCTTAAGGAGCTCAATGAAGCATTTTTATGGAATCAGTAAATAATGTCTATGCAGTCATTTTTTGTTAATAGAAATGCCTGGTTAAGAAACCATACTCCATAGTGTATGGTGGCACACTTCTGTGATTCCAGTAATCAGGAAGCTGAGGCAGGGATTCCAAGTTTGAAGGCAACCTGAACTATATAATGAGAACTTCTCATTAAAAAAAAGAGAGAGTGGGGAGCAAGGGGGTGATAGAGGGAGGGGAAAAAGAACCCCATTCCTCTCCTTGACATTTGCCAGTGGCTATTATATTAGTATTTTTCAAAGAAGCTGGTTTTAAAAGGTAATACACATAAATTGGTATCACTGAAATGACACATTCCCAGAAAAAAGTATATTTTTCTCATTATAGAAAATATTTTATTAATTGAGTTAGCTACAAGATAATATTTTGTGGTAGCTGGAGTCTTAAAGTGTGGGGAATGTCAATTCTGTGACCACTGGGCATGTGAGCGAAGTTGTATTAGTCAGTTCTCTTTGCTTTGGTTCTTGTTTAGAAAACAAAGGGAATAACCATGTTCAGTGCCTCTCCTTTAGCATGCAAGAAGAAACAGAAGTGTGAACCCGCACAGTACTCTATTGTTTTTCTGGCAGTACTAAGGATTGAGCCTTTTTCACTGAGTTGCATCCCTGTCCTTTTTATATTTTTCATTTGGGGACAGGGTCTCCCTAAATCACTAAGTTGCCTGGGCAGGGCTCCAACTTGTAATCCTTTTGCCTTGGCATCTCAGAGTGCTAGTATTAAAAGTATGTGTCACCAAGCTCAATCACAAGCAAGGTGCTTCCTTTGTAATCATGAGTCAAATAATCAGAAGAGTCAAATATGAGTCTAAGCTGAATGTGATGGTCGTCTAGTCCTATAATCCCCGTATTCTAACAACATTAAGCCAAGCTTGGAAAACTTAAGTGATTTAGCAATATCCTATCTCAAAATTTAAAAGGGCTGAGGTTATGTAGCTCAGTATAAAGGTCCTGGGTTCAGTCCCCAGTGCCACCACCACCACCTCAAGGCATGACTGTGGCCAAGAGATGGGTCAAAGAGCATGGGTGGGTAGAAAAATATAGAAGCAGAGAGATGTGTGTGCCAGAATCAAGTTGGAGATTCTTCAAATTACTTTTTCCCTTGCTCCTTCCTCCTACCCTAGAAAATCAATATGACTCATGCCATAAGTTATAGGAAATATGCACTGAGTTCTAAACATGAGAGATATGCACAGTAGTGATTAAAGTCAAAAACCTCAGTTTCAGGGAGACTATGGTTTGAATGCTGAGTTCACTTTTTATCAACTATATGGTCTTGAATGATTAATTTTATTTTTGTAGTACTAGGGATGGAACCCAGAGCCTTGTGTATGATAGGCAAATATTCTACCATTAAGCTAGAGCTGCAACCCTTTTTACAATTATATTTTGAGGAAGAATCTCAATAATTTTCCCAGGCTGGCCTTGAACTTCTTATCATCCTATCTCAGCCTCCGCAGTAGCCAGGATTACAGATGCACACTTCCATGGCAGACTTGAGCAATTTTTTTAATCTTTAGAAAGCCTCATTTCCTCCTCTGTAAAACATTTACCTTTAAGGCTGGTGTATGGCTGCCATGTAGTTATTAAAAAATAGTTCTGCCATTGATTCTTTGGTAACACTGACTTTAACGTCCATTCCAAATCATGAATTTAACCAATATTTGTTACCACAAGATTATCAACTTTTTATATAAAAGATAGACATAGATACCTTAAAAACATATGGAGATATATAATTTTAAAGCTGAATATAGCTTTAAAACCATACAGAACTGTCCTCAATCACCCCTCATTTTATAAATGGAGAAAAAGAGGCTCAGAAGAGCAAAAGAATTGCCCAAAAATAACAGGTCTAAAGGTCCAAACTGCAGCTTTATCTTTTGTCCTCAAGTCTGGCCCTTTCTAGTTTTTGCCTCTTTTAACCCATATATTTAGTAAAAATAAAACATACATGCTTTAAAAAGTTCATGATGTGAATATTATATCTTTTGTATTACAGAGGTCAAAGATACCATCACACAGGACACGAAAAATATCACATGAGATGACTCTCAGCCAGTTAATGAAATTAGTAGCGCTGGAAGGTGTGGTAAAAGCTGGCATGGTGGCACATGCCTGCACTTTCAGTGTAGGAGACTGAGGCAGGGGGACTGGAGGTCCTGGCCAGCCTGTGTGACATAGCTAAAACCTATCCCAAAATATCCTCCCACCAAATAGCAAAGGAAAAGAAAACCTATCATTGCACAAGTAACATAGGAAAAAAAAAAAACCTAGAAAGAAGGAATCAGCAGCTAGGCTGCAAAAACCAGGGAATAAGGTGCCCCTTATTGGGCCCCAGGCTGGTTTCGGTGTTTCAAGATTCCAGGCTTCCTTGAGGAATCATAAGATTTGCAAAACCTTCATGTCTTTCCCACTCACTCTACACTAGCCCACCTGACGAAGGGATATGAGTGTATCTGTAATGAGCAGCTACAACAATGCACCCTCCTAGGTGAACGGTAGTGAAGTGGGACCTGTGACTAACACCAAAACCCCTTCACCCTACACATCACATAATGGCTAGAGCTATGCCTCTGCAAGCAGAGCCAGAGGATTTTTGGGGGCTTTCTCACCAGGGTGGGGAGCTGATGCTGAAGGAAGAGTTGTGAGTCTGACTCACCCATCTCAGGGAAAGTCAAAGAACTGGAAGTCTACCCAGCCCATTCTGGGGACCTGCCTATCTGCACCTACGTGACCACTGTGGAATCTTCATCAAGCAGACTGCCCCCAAAACCTGACCTGGAATGCACAGAGTCCAGCACCACAATCGCTACTCCAACCTTGGCTGCCATCAGGAAGGTTTTATGTCAACTCCACCATTGCCTCCAGTTCTCTGGTCTCTAGAATAACTCAGTGGCCATAAATTCCTGGCTCTGCTAAGTGTTAGCTTACTTCTAACTTAACTGACTGCAACTTCTCCTTTGGGAAAAAGCCATACTCCTGAGTACACTGCTAAATGAGTACCACCTTGTCTCTTTCCTCCACATCATCATTATAATTAATAAGCAACAATATCATCCCTCGTGGTTATGTTCTTATTAGGTGTTAACTAGCCTTAGCATCATTATCTCATTAAGCCTTTCCAGCTAAATTACTTTATCAGCTTCCCGCCAAAGGGGGTCTGGAACTGCCTGGTGGAAAGAATCCCCTACCAACACAAGCAGGGGAAAAAGAATATTTACATGCATTTAGATCTGCTCCAAATGTTAACATTTTTTGAAAATTTAATGTTATTTCTGTTACTAGGAGTAAGTTTACATTTCTATAAATCCTCTCCTCCAAGTGCTTAATGTGAAATCCAGAAGCTTTCTACTTAATCTCACTCATATTTTTGTGGGAGAAAAATGTTGTGGAATAATATATTCTAAAATATTTACAGTGGCAAAAACCTCTTCAATCATCACTATCCACATTCTGTTTGGATAAATTATCTCCAGTGCTTTCCTAAAATGCTAAACTTCAAAATTTTATATAAAAAGCTCTGAACAATTTTGCTCAGATACCCCCATCTCAGTTGTTCTAGACGCAGTCTTTTCTTCAACCTCCTCGATAATGCTTAGCTTTTCTTCCTTTAATAGCATTCATTTTATAAATCAACCTTTTGTAAAGGTAGATGAAGACTTTCCTACTCATAAGTGAATGGAGAACATAGACTATTTCTCTAGAAATGCTTTCATTTCTGAAGACTAATGACACTTACTGCTGCTTCTGTTGTCCTTATGATTTCATGTTAACCATGAATTCTTTTCATTTTTTTCCTTGATTCCTAAGTTGTGTGCACTCTCCTAAGGTTGGGGGATATGCCAGCCAGAGTTCAAGTTTGCCCTTTTACAGCCACTAGTCACATTTTGTTTCCCACCCCAAATACTTCCTCCCCTTTCTGCCTTCCCAAATTCTTTAATCATCTCCCATGTAATTCATCATTCATCCTCACTTTCTCAAAGTAATTTCCTCTTTTTAAATATCTTATTATCTCACACTCCTTATTATACTGTTACCCTCCAAGCCCTGTAATTCATTTCATTTTCTCAAAAATTGTGCAGTCTTCTCAATTTGTAGCGTTTCCCCCTCTTCTGCCATCTTATTCCCTTGCCTTCCCACCTCATGAGTTCTTACATCTTTTGTATTGCAGAGGTCAAAGATATCATCACACGGGACATGAAAAAAATCACATGAGATGACCCTCAGCAAGCTACTGAAGCCTTGTTTCCAAAGGTTTGAGTTACGATTTTAAATGGTTGACATATAGCTAAATCTGCTTCCATTTATTTTCTTAATTTTCAAAATCAATTATCAAATTTAGGCTTACAATTCTCAAGTCTTCCCATGGAAGCAATCAAATACACTAGGTATCTTTTTTATTTAATCAGATGAAATATCAACAACTGATTGTTGTTAACCTGAGATGTGGTGACCCTTCTTTGTCTCCTTTAGGTATGAAGCTTGGCCCAAGCGACACGTATGTCTTATGATTCTATATGTATAAACACTTTCACATAGGAACTGAAAGTTAACCTTAAAGTATAAACCGTGGTGTCACAAACTTACTGTTCTTGCTCAGACTCTTCACAGAAGAGTATAACCTTAGCTTTTAAGTTTCTGTTTTGTTTTGTTTTGCAAACTTCACAGACTTTGAGTCCCTTTTTCCTTAACATCTTTTCTCCCCCGCAATGTCAGAATTAGTTTTAACAAACATTGGAGGTAATCATTCTTTCCACTGTTTTCTTCGCTTTAGAATCCTGCCTCCCCTCATCCTTTCACAGTGCACGTTTTCCTGCTTCCAGTTTACCACAGGAAAAAATTCCCATTCCTTTCTCCCTCATATCCTTCTGCCACCTTATTTTGCTCCTCCACAGACACTGTTTCTGACTCTGAGCAGGTCTGGCAGTTGGTCCGGCTGCTGTGTTCTCCCAGCCTGTTCAGCCCAGAGGAGAGATGTCTTGTCCCTGCAGGGCTCCCAGGTGCTGGCAAGAGAAAGGCATCGTGATAATCTACTATTAGTGCAACACTCAGGCACCAGAAAGAAAGATGCACATTGACCTGGGAAAAGTCACAGTGTACTATGCTGAAGGGAAGAACTGTAGCAATTTCCCAAACTCTAACCATCTCCCTATTGAATTTCTCCGGAGAACAGCGCTCACTTTTCAAGGTTACTGATTTTTCCCTGTCCATCACAGACATATATATAGGAATAAGGTTAGTAAACTTTAACCACAGAAACCTAGTACCTATTTCCATATAACTAGGACTTTCTAAGATGCTCAAATATATAGATTACTGGGGCAGTAGTAAGAAGTCTTGCTGCTTGAATGACTATGTTTCTTGGAAAGGAATTGAGTTTCCCTGAGTTTATCCTTTTTTTAAGTAACCCAAATTATCTACTCTTTTTTTTCTAAAATATGACCCTTTCTCTCTCAGCATTCACAAATCACACACAATTTCTCTTGAGGGTACGACAGAGTCTAATTTTCTTCATTATTCAATTTGGATCCTGTTAAGTGAGACAGGCATTCACCAACAAGAACATTTAAACTTTGGCTAATAAGTTCATTAGTATTAAGAAAGCTTTGCACCCCTCATATTTAATAAACCTTTCCATTACAGAGTAAGAAATTCTGCAAAATAGTGAAACAGATTAGCAGTAGGGCCACCAAGACAGTACACCCAACCCTAATTCAGAGATGTCTCAGTTTATCAGTTTTCTGTCAATCATTAAAACAAGATGAATGAAACATACAATTATATACAAGGAGATAGAACTCCTAATTCTTTCATCTTAGCTGAAGCATAAGTTTTAATTGCTTAGAAAAATAAGGTTTTTTGTTTTATCTTAAGTAGAACGGAGAAAAAAAATATAAATTGCTTTAGAATCAATGACCAGAGCTACAAATATCAAGGTCATACAAAGAATAAGTGGAAAGACAAGTTTACCATGTGTATATTTTGCATGCACGATGGCCAATATCCAGATATTTGGAAATGTAAGATGTTTCATAAAATGTTGCCCTTTTGGTTAAGAATGTTTAGAGTTGTACAGATTTACTGATTGTTTCTGCTTAATGGTAGGGGTACTGTATTAAAATATTTAAATATTTTGTCAACTATTTTAGAATCACTTTCCATGTATGTGAGTTACCTAGTGCCTTTGTTTCTCTTTAAAGACTCTCCACACTTTCTACCATTTTTAATACATTCACTAGAGGGAAAATGAGAAGAAAGGGAGGTGAGACACTAATCAGTTCATGTAGGAGTAAGGTTAATTTGCATAAATAAAGGTAACAGAGAAAAGTAAAGTTTTCAGTCACGGAGAGTCACAGACATTACCTGGAGGTGTCTCTATTCCTTGAACTCTACTGTAAAGTAACACTGAGAGTCAAAAGTAACTAATTCTACAATTTAAGCCATAAATTGAAAAAAACCTGAAATTATTTCTCAGCATCAAATTCTCAAACTAGATTATGTCTGCCATGCTAAATTTGAAATTACATTGAATTATATTCTAAGATATATTTTCTGCAGTCAGGTATATGTATTTGTTAGACTTGCCAATAATGGAAGAAGCAAAAATAAGAAGTTGCTTAATGAAGTTGGAGGCCATGGCAATAACTTTTCATCTGAAAAGGAAAAATGTTTTTCCTTTCCTTTTTTAAAAAGTGATTTTTCTTTCCTTTTTTAAAAAGGTCACCACAGCTTGGGATTCAGCTGTGTCTGCTTGGCAAACTCGAGGTCATGAGTTTGTTCTCCAGCACCAAAAAAAAAATTTTTTTTAATTAAAAATAAATAAAAATAAAAAGGTCACCACAGCTGAGCATGATGACACATACTTATAATCCTAGTACTCAGGTGGCTGAGGCAGGAGGATTGCTGTGAGTTTGAGGCCAGTTTTGCCTACATAGTAACTTTAAGGACAGTCTGGACTACTTAGTGAGATTTTGTAAATAAATAAATAAATAAATAAATGTCACCAGGCACAGAGAAGATGGGAAGAACAGTGTATATAAAAGATGTCTGTTAAACACTACTTTTCTGGTTTTGTTTTTAAACTTAGGATCTTCCTGCTTGAGCAAGGATGAGATGCAAAGGGTGGGTAATCAGTAGCCCTCACTGTACTGAGAATTTTTCCTCTTTAGACATATCCCAAAAAAGTGAAAAATTCTTTCTTCTTTATATTTGGAATGAGCTCTTTTCATGGTGACCCTGGGCCTGAATGATGATTTGATGTGTGTCTTAGGGCAGTATGAAATTGCCTGAGAAGAACTGGCACCTGACTATAGAAAGTCCCCTGGGAGTCCCACCAGCACACCTCCCTGGGGCATAGCTGATTCCCTACAAGGAAAAAGCTAGAAAGTGTTAGGCTTACTTTGTGTCCTCAAACTTAGCACATACCTGATTCATGGCAGATAGTGTTTGCTTGGTAAAAATAGGAGGAAGCAAAGGACAGGGAGAAAAGAAGGAAATGAAATGATGAGAGAGGAAATAAAGCCTCTGTGAGTCTCAGAGCTAGCACTTTCTTCACTCCAAAGGTGAAAAGCAGACTCATTATATCCTACAAGACAAACAAAAACAAATACTAAAATTCAAGTCAGAGAAGATTCATCTGACTTCACAGCTTAGAATAAGCAAGTGTGAAACTGGCCTGCTACTGTTTGGAGCCTGATGTTGACATTTTAAAGGCCAAAAGGGATGTAGAGTATCTTGAGAGACATCAAAGTGGCAGGTGAAGTGTCTTGCCCAGTCACAAAGCTTGTTAGTGTCAGGAGAATGACTCAAATCCAGGTTATCAAGTGTTCCAACCCAGAACTTTTCACAGGGCAGTTTCCTATGCAGAACAGAAGCAATATGGGTTCTAGGTCCCATCTCTGCTTATTTCTGGACCCAAATCACTTCACATTTTCTTCCCAGAGGCCCTCCCAACTCCAAGCACTTCACATGGCACCCCAGGACTTTGCAGAGATTGCATGAGAAGCCCATGTTCGTAGAGTTATTAAAAAGTGACCACAAGTTCCACATTTCATTATTTGAAGCTTGTCTCATGATAGCTTTCTCTGCAAATAACTTCAATATTGCCTCTTGGCCAACTATGTTTTGAAGTTTCCAGTTCTACTCAGTGTTTCCATCGACCTAATTAATTCAATATAGGATCTGACCACCTGATCTATAGACAAAGAGTTCAAATTCCATTTCACTTGAAGTGCAATGTTAGCAATGACCCACACCCTCTAGTAAACAAAGACACCCTCAGAGCTCACATCCTAGAAGGGCAAGACAGGCTATGGTGTTGTGTGCACCATCAAGCTCTAGAGTGCACAGGAAGGACATGGAGGCTAATGAATTGGTGTTTTCTCCTTGTCTGCTCTTTACTAGAGAAAAAGAAATGAGCAGGAAGCCCACTGGAGTACTAACCTGTCTTCTAGTCACAGATGAGGTAGCTGGAGTGCCTAATTTATGTATTTCAGTCAGAAGAACAGGAATGCTGAAGTAAAACAGCCTCCTATTCCTCTACGTTCTGATTACTCCCTACTTCCTAAACCTTAGGAATGTATCAACCCATTCCTTCCAGTGTCACATGGAATACTCCCCGAGAAGGGCTGTGAAATACATTTTTCCACCCCTTGAATTTCTATGGATAGGTTAGAACCCCGTTGACATTTCAGTGCCCCTGTTGGTTAGTCCTCCATGCTGGTGTCCAGCTGGTTTCTTTTTTGTCTGATCCTGATGACAGCCATTACTTGAATGAAGAGCCAATAGAGAGAGAAACTGCAGCTTCTTCTCCAGAAAAAGCCCAGCTGCAAAGTCTTCTCACTGATGGCATCCAGGGACTAGTGTTCAAGCAGCTCAGCAGCAGTAGGGAAGCAATATGGGAAAAGCCCATGCTCTTCCGAAGGAGCGCGTTTTCCTTCCATCTCAGCAACTGTAAAATGATAAATCACAGATTATAAAATTAAGCCACCACACAAGTGGGGATCTTAGTAAATACATGGTTTAAACAAAGTCTGATGATGGATTCATTGACTTTTAAATGAAGCCTGTGGTTTTCCAGTTAATGTGTCATAGACTACAGGAACCCACAAAGACACAGAAGGATTCTCTGTCCCTTTATTAATTTGTAGATGCCAAAGGAGAAGGAAGAGCTATACAGTAATTGCAATTAAGTACTGTCTGTGTGCATGAAGCATGTAGAATGTGTGGGCTAAGTGGGACATATTAGGGGAAGAGGAAAGACCTAAAAAATACAAAAACAGTCATTTTTTCCTCACAGTGTTGCACAGAGCTTACCTAACAAAGAAGAGATTATATGACTTGAATGAGTAAGTAATATTTGCTGACAAATTTGGTTTAGGAGCCCATAAAAAGAAACACGGTAGCCCAAGCCTTATCCAATTCTTGAGCAGTTAATGATTGGTTCCCAGAGTCTTTAACAAAGTAAGACAGAATGGTACATACAACCACATTCCAAGGTAATTAATCTAGATAGAGTATCAGTAGTTTCACGCATCTCTTGTCAAAAGTATCACACAAGAAGCTATAGCTAGAAAGATCCCCTTCTTCAACCTCTAACACAGTGCTTGGTGGTGTTTGAGTACTAATTTCCCCTTCCTGGACAACAGATTGGCTCATTGGTACTGGCATGAGGCACAGGGATCTGCATGTTGGTGGGCTTCCTCAGGAACTCTGACCTTGTAGCTGTAGGAACTGTCCTGGTTCCTCTGCCTGTCAGTGCTGTACAGAGGGCTAGAAAATTTGAGCTCAAATATCAAAGATCTGCTGACTATAGATCACAAAATGGAGACCAGGAGACCAATGCCAGCTTTGAAATCTCAAAGTATGTTTAGAATGACAAGAAAGACCTTTTATGTCTGTTATCATTAATGACTTCATGGCTGACAATATCCTATCTCTACTCGAGATCCCTATATAACTGGTCTTCCAACATATGCTGAGCCCCTATTTTGTGTAAGATGGAATGCGGGGATAGCTGACATGAACAAACAAAAGCAAGCCCCAGCCAAGTGTGGTGGTGCACGCTTGTAGCCCCAGCTACTCAGGAGACTGAGGCTGGAGAATCATAAGTTCAAGGTCAGCCTGGGCAATTTAGTGAGATGCTCTCTCAAAATTTTAAAAAGGGTCTCCCTAGGCCCCTTTTTAAAAAGGGGGGACACAGTAGATATAGTATAGGTATGAGCTCCTGGGTTCCAGCTGCAGTGGCCCAAAAGTTAAAAAAAAAAAAAAAAGTAAGCATTAGTTGTAAAAGACCTATTATGAGCAGACTGCTACATGTAAGAATAGTGTCATCACTGCAGGGCACAGTGTCACTGACAGCAAAACAGCACATAGCAGTGACCACAGAGCAGGGTCACTAAGACCAGAATAGCACAAAGCAATGTTACATAAGCAGCTCTCGGTTAACCTGATAATTTCAAAACCTGCTGCTTGGCAGAATCATCTCTGGCAGAACCCCCACTGAGAGTATTACAACTGTCCTGAGCCTGAAAAAGTCTGGAATCTGTATTTTTATCTAACTTTCAGGTGAATCCTAAGCAACCAATGTGGGGTGGTAGGATTGAACCCAGGGCTAGGTTATGTGCTCTACCACTGATACCCCCAGCTCCTCCTCTTTGAACTCTCTGTTCTTAGCCTACTTAAATTGGCTCCTTGAACTCAGGTTTGGTTTTCTTCCTATCAACAGTCTCGACATGTTATCTTGCTACTTGATACTCCCATATGTTTTCTGAGAAAGAATATAGCTTTATTCTCTAAGAAAACTTACAAAAGAAGTTCATGTCCAGCATATACTATACACTTATTTGAAATATCAGTCATAAGCAAATCCATACAGATAGAAAGCAGATAGAAAGCCAAGAGCTAAGAAGAAGGTGGGATGGGGGATGACTGCTGAAAGATAGGGGGTTCCTTTTGGAGATGATGAAGACATGATACATTCTAGAATTAGATGGTGGTAATGATTACATAACTTCATAAATATATTAAAAACCACCAGACTGTACACATTAAGAAGGTGGATTTTAAGTTTTATGATTTATAAATTACTTTTGAAAAGCCCATAGAGAAATATGGGCCCCATATATCACATGCAGGTGAACCACGTGGCTCCATACAACTGTCAGGTGACATCCTCAGGGTAAGAGGTAGGCAGCTGATGACAATAATGGCAACCATTTATTAGATACTCTTATTGGCACACATTACTTACACACAATACATGTTTGTCTTAGTACATTGCTACCTCAGAAGAAAACCAAAGCTACAGATAACATATTTAATATGTTGCTAATTACTAAGATCTTACAAATGACAAAATGAATGCACATAAGATTAAATAACTTCACTAGGCCAATAGCTAAAAGGTTCTGGTTTTATAGATGCTAAAAGATCCTTTGCCCTAAACTATGTCTCTTATATAGCTGACACTATTAGATTTGGAGAAATAAAATAATAGTAATTTAACAATATAACCTAAGATTTATCAAATACTTTCCATGTTATGATCCACTAAATTCTCTAGAGAGTTTATCTCATACAGTCTTCAAAAAAAGAGGTGCATTCTCCTGTTATACCTAATTGACAAAGATAGCAACAGATAGCAAATGATGAAGCTGGAATTTAACAGATGCTTGGTTCACCGCTACTCCATCAGTGACCTACAGTCAGATGCCTAAGACAACAAGACAATGGAAGTATGAAGTGGACCTCACTTAGATTTTGAAATATAAAAATTTTTTTAAAATTCTGTTCATCTTTTATTTACACATAGAGATATGGGATACTTTCTCTTAACATAATAAAACAAAGCAAAAAAAAAAAAAAAACAATGGTAAAAGGCAAATGACATTTTCCCTGAATGTTGAGATATATCAGGATAATGCAAAAATGGTGGCAAAGTGGGGAGAAAGCCCGCTTCACCTAAAGGGGCCACCACCCTTCAGCTCCCCCCTTCTGTTGTAAAGTGGGTAGGGCTGCAATTTCATCATATTTTCTGAGATGAGATGAAACCAGACAAAACAGAGTTTTCTATGAAAGTTTTTGACTTTTAAGAGATGACAAAAAATTCTTCAGACTAGATTTGGCTTGAAATAGTCCACTCTTGACATTGATACACAGTAAAATGGCTCCCCACTCAGCTCTGTGATGTGAGGACCTAGGATTTGGACCAAGTTAAAGCGAAGTCTGAAACACAAGGCGGTGAGGGTATGGAGAGTCTCGAAGTCCACTCCAGGAAGGTAAACTTTCTTCTACAGACAGCAAAAGCCAGATGCTTTGTTGCTTTATCTTATTAAGAAGAAAAAGGGATTGGATCAGAAAGACATCCCTGAAGATGATGTGAGGCTAAAACAGGCAGGAAAGCTAGCCAGGCAGTGAGACCAGATGGGAGATGAGTGCCCTCATGGGTCCCAAACCAAGACCATCACAACGGGGTAAGAGACTGAACTACTGAAGTAAACTAGTGACAAAGATCTTCCCCAATAAATAACAGATCTACTGAGATCAAGGAGCATACATTGGTTAAAAAAAAGATTGTCATCACAAGAGAGGGAGATACTAGTAAACGCGAGAGCTACGAGAGAAGAGGTTTCAGGGTACAGCTTGTTCAAGGCTGGTTTGGCACCTATAAAGGAAAGAAAATGTTCTTGGCTAGAGAGAAGATAGCTTTAAAACTGGCTAAAAAACAAAAGTGAATGAAAGAAATAAAAAGAATGTATAGAAGGAGATTGGGTAATAAGAAATTAAGAAGAAACATGGGAAATCTGCAGGGAAAAAAAATAACCAGGCAATGAACAGTGAAGGCCCCTACAGTCCAGTTTTAATGAAGAGGAGAGAACACAGGGACAACATTTTAAAAAGACGTTGTAACGAAGGCCAAAGGAGATTGCTTTAACAGAAGCAGAATTCAAGAGCAGAGACCACAGTGGAGGTATTTACAAAAAATAGGAAATAAAGTGGGCCAGAATATGGGAAAGGATTATAGCTAGTAGAGACCAATGGGAAAAGATGAGTCTTAGAGATGTCAGAGAGGAAAATATGACAGGATTTTGGAATATTCTCAGGATAAAAATAAGTCCTATTTTATTAAAAAAAATACAAAGTTCTTTCTACGCAGTGCTTAAGAAGTAGCCCTGAGAAGAGCCAAAGATAACACCAAAGCTGCATTCCGAGGGCATGAGGAAGAGAATGCAGTTACCAGAAAGCCCCAAAAGGGAAGGAAGCAAAGACTTTTCACAAGCTTGGTTTTCATTGGTTATAACATCACCCAAACCAGAATAAAGTGCTCGACAGAGTTGGCTTTTGCAGAGGTAATCGTGTGATGACGCAGAGCATTCTGGGAGAACTGCAGAGGCAAGAGGAGAGAAGTAAAACAAAAGGTTTCCCATTCCTGTGGTCAGGGATAAAAAAGGACCACTAGCAACAAAATAGCATTTAAAAGAATTAAGTCACACATCAAGGACAAGAAGGGATGGGGAAGTACCACTAATGGCAACAGGAAGGTACTGGTACATCCAAGTATGCTGTGTGTAGCCCAGCACCACATGAACTGTATTCCATTTAAGTTCCACATCAACTATACAAAGCTATTCCATGTTACTGAAATAAATGCATAGCCTGCTTGTAACTGGTTACATGCTAGCAGTCACACACATCTCAAGATAGTGAGCCAAATCATATTTAGTTCTTAATCATATGCAAGGAAAAATTTATACATATACAAAAAGAGCCTCACTATGCTGCCCAGGCTTGTCGTTCTAGGCTCAAGTAATCTTTCTGCTTCAGCCTCCAGAGTGCTGGGACTACATCATGCTAGACTTTAACTTGTATATTTTCCTTGACGCCTCACTGTCAGACTACGGGTGTCTTCCACCTGGATCTCTGTTAAAGTCTTCCTAACAGACCCTCTGT